AGTGATGCCATCCAAGTCCCATGATACCACATACAGGTCCTCCTTGTTTGGTTGCTGTGCACCTCCCTGGCCTTATCCCTCTCCAGGCCCTCTCTGCCTTTCCCTTTTTGATCCAGCAACTCCAACCTGTCTGCTGTTTCACCTGTGCGTGTGCTATCATCTTACCCCCTTGTTATACTCCCTGCCCGTAATGTTCCTCTTCCTACTCGACCTGCACTGCCTCCTTCAAGTCTTTCCAAAAATGGTGGCACTGAAGCCATGGGCAATTCTCTATTGTTGGCCTCACCCTGGAAGCTATACTAACACTTCTTTTTTTTTTTTAAGGAAAAATTGTATTTTATTTATATTCATATTTCCATTGAAATAAAAGCACATAATTAGGGGTGGATGTTGGACCTAGTGGTTAACATGCTGCTTGGAATGCTTGAATCCCATATCAGAGTACCTGAATTTGAGTATGGACTCCACTCTTGATGCTGGCTTCCTGCTAATATGCAACTGGGAATCAGCAAGTGGATTTAAGTGGTTGGGTCCCTGCCAACCGTGTGGGAGACCTGGATTCAGTTTTTGATTCTTGGTTTCAGCCTAGCCCAGCCCGGGATGTTATGGATATTTGGGGGGAGTGGATCAGGAGATTGGAACTCTCTTTTTCTGTCGATCAAACACAACAAACAAACACAAAATCAAGGGGCATTAGTTCCAGACATCTGGTTTCTTTCAACTCCTTGGCAATGGTTTGGGATAGTGACTTCAAAGCAAACTGATTCATGAAAAGTTCAAGGAAACATAATGCTTTCAGTGTAATATTTGCAACAATAATACAGGAGTCTCCCCTTATCCACAGTTTTGATTTCCATGGTTTTAGTTACCTATAGCCAAATATCTCCTTCAAGTCTCCCCAGAAACCCCAAAATCTGAATCACTTAAAATACTGAAAAAAAATCATGAAACATTCATATTCTGAAAACAGGAGGTGCAAAATTCTTTTATTATAGTATATTATAATAATTCCATTTTATTATCAGCTTTTGTTAATCTTACTGTTTCTAATTTATAAATTAAGCTTTATCACAGGTCTGAATGTATAAGAAATACAATATATGTAGGGCTGACTGTGAGCCAAGCTTCATGGGTCCCTGTGGGCAAGGGGGGGACTACTGTAATGGCTAACATTATTAGTTACTTACCAAGGACGTCATAATGGTCTGAATAATGATTAGGTAGTTATAGCATTGAATCCTTACAAAAACCCTACAACTACTATTGCCATTTTACAGACGACAAACCTAAGGTTCAGAGAACTTAAATAACATGCCTGAGGTTACAAAGTTAGAAATGGGCAAAGCTGACATTTAACTAGTGACCATTAACATTTAACAATCCAGGCAGTTATTACTCGATTTTACTGCCTACTCTTGCTGAAAATGAAAAACACTGCAGCAAGGTTTTTGAACTTGGAATTCAATTGATTTTGTTATAAAATGACTGCTAGATTTTCAATGTTAGGTTTTATGTTAAGAATAGGACTTGTGATTGGTAATGCCCACATTCCCTGAAAGCTCTAACATGGTCCCTATGCTTCAAACACCATTTATGCTCCATGATGCTCAAATTTATCTTGGCAGTCTAGCCCTTTCTTCCAAACTCCAAACTCTATCTCCAGCTCTTTCCTTTACATGTCCCCTTGTGCAGCAAAGGTAGCAATTTAAACAACGAAGTTCTCACTGCCCCTCCACAAATCAGCTCTGCCCACATTTTAACCCACCCTTGCTAACACCACCTGCATTCTTCCCATCGCTCAGGTTCAAAACCCTGGGACTGTCCTTAACTCCTCTATCCCTGAATCACCTACACCAGATCCATCAAGAAATCCTCTTGGTCTACCTTCAAAACAGATCCAGAATCCAATTCTTCCACCACCTTTTAACAAGAATACTGCAACAGCTTCTCAACTTACCCCTGAGCTTGTAACCCTGTCCCCTGCAATCCATTCTCAACATAGCAGACAGAACCTTTTCTTGCTCACTTTGCTTCAGCCATGCTGCCCTTCTTAATGTTTCTCGAACAATGCCTGGCATATTCCTACCTTTTGTTCTTAGCACTGACTGTTCCTATGTCTTGGAACCCTCTTCCTTTAGAAAGTAATACAGTCGGGCCAGTGCAGTACTGGCATCAAATATGGGCGCTGGTTCAAGTCCCAGCTGGTCCACTTCTGATCCAGCTCTCTGCTATGACCTGAGAAAGCAGTGGAGGATGGCCCAAGTCCTTGAGCCCCTGCACCCATGTGGGAGACCAAGAAGAAGCTCCTGGCTCCTGGTTTCGGATCAGCCATGCTCTGGCCATTGCAGCCATCTGAGGAGTGAACCAGAAGATGTCGATGTCGATGTCTCTCTCTCTCTGACTCTGCCTCTCTGTAACTCTGCATTTCAACTAAATAAATAATTTTTTAAAAAAATTACTCATATAGCCAACTCCATCACCCCCTTTAAGTCATGGGCCAATGTCACCTTCTCAATGAACTCTTTCTAACAACCCTATTCAAAGTTGCAATCCAACCTTGATCACAGCACTCCCAAACCCTCTCCTTGCTTTAAGTTCTTCTCATAGCATGCATGACCTGTACATATAAATTACTTATTACACTTTTATTATCTGTCTTTTCCTGCTAGAATGTGAATTCCTCTGTTGCAACCCAAGCTCCAACTATATGGTAGTGTCTGGAACATAGTAAATGCTCAGTAAGTCACTGCTGAACAAATGAATTATTATCAACTCTTCAGAACCAATTTGAGTTCTCACCAGTATGGCAGAGCAAAGAGGTTTTCCAGGGTAGCACCATGTTAATAGCAAATAACATAAGACTTGGTGCTCAGACAACATAACATTAAAGGCAAGGCACCAGTAACATGCCTATTACCCAGAGTATACATCATAATAAAGAAGCTTATACACTTCAGAGTCAGACAACCTGGGTCAGATTATAACTATGCCATCTACTAATTTAGGAAAGATACTTAAGCCTCTGCAAAATGAGAATAATGAAGATAATAATGCCTACCCTTTGTTAATTGATTTATTACTTATCACAAACTCTCCTATTGCCTGAAATTGTTCTAAGTTGTTTTATAAATATTAACTCAGTTAATCGTAACAAATCTATGAGTAGGAACTAATATTAGAACCATTCTGAGATGTGAGAACTGAAACACAGAAAGTTTAAGTACCAGTGAATGTAACAGCACGTAGTTAGTAAAAGTTGAAGCCGGATATTTTTTTTTTTTTTTTTGACAGGCAGAGTGGACAGTGAGAGAGACAGAGAGAAAGGTCTTCCTTTGCCGTTGGTTCACCCTGCAATGGCCGCCGTGGCCGGCGCACTGCGGCCGGCGCACCACACTGATCTGATGGCAGAAGCCAGGTGCTTATCCTGGTCTCCCATGGGGTGCAGGGCCCAAGGACTTGGGCCATCCTCCACTGCACTCCCAGGCCACAGCAGAGAGCTGGCCTGGAAGAGGGGCAACCGGGACAGAATCCGGTGCCCCGACCGGGACCAGAACCCGGTGTGCCGGCACCGCAAGGTGGAGGATTAGCCTAGTGAGCTGCGGCGCCGGCTGAAGCCGGAATTTCAATCTGGCTATTAATGCTAACATTAATCTCTGCTATGTTGCCTTTCCTTGTGGTGAGGATTAAATATGGAAATGCAAGTCAAGTTCCTTTTAATCTTGAGCACTTAATAAACTCTCAAAATGTGTTGTCAGCTCTTATTATTACTACTATTACTATTACTTGATAATAATGTGTTATGAAACAATTTTCATGGTTCAGAAGTGAACATCCATACAAAAAAACATGCAAAATATGCTTTCCTAAACCTCATTGCCAATTATAAAACTTATATTCTACTTAATGCACAGAAGTTATCAATATGTTGACTGCTCCTTAAAATAGTTAAGTGCCAAAGCCTAAATGGGAAATACGATGAGCACAGGCCAGCTTAATAGAAAATGAGTCTTATTCACTGTTTCCCTCCCTCCCTCCCTCCCTCCCTCCCTATCTATCTATCTATCTATCTATCTACCTATCTACCTACCTACCTACCTATCTATCTACCTACCTACCTACCTACCTACCTACCTATTGAGAGTACTTGAGAGGCCTCTCGACAGCCAAATCGATAACAAGATAGATCTCTCATCTGCCAATTCAATCCCCAAATACCTGCAATAGTTTGGCCTGGACCAGGTAAAAAATCAGAAACCAGGAACTCAATTCAGTCTCCCATGTGGTAGCAGGAACCCAACTACTTGAACCAACACTGATGCCTCACAGGGTCTACATTAGCAGAAAACTGGAAACAGGAGTGGAGCCAGGACTTGAACCCAGGCATTCCATGATGCGACACAGGTATCCCAAGTGGCATCTTAGCCACCAACCAAACATATCCACCATGCTTTTAAAAATTTACCTGAGTAGGCAATACATTCTTCAACTTAAATAATTTTAAGGGGTGGTGTTGTAGTACAGAGGGTTAAGCTGGCACCTGGGGACCCCTCGATCCCGTGTTGGAGTGCCTGGGTTCACATCCTGGCTACTCTGCTTCTGATCAAGCTTCCTGATAATGAGCCTGGGAGGCAGCAGATGATGGTTCAAGTGCCTGGGTCCCTGCCACCTACCTGTGAAACTCAGGTAGAGTTTTGGGTTCCTGGCTTCAGCCTGGCCCAGCCCTGGCTGTTGCTGACATTTGGGGAGGGAACAAGCAGGTATATGAGGATCTCTCTCTCTCTCTCTCTCTCTCTCTGTGTGTGTGTGTGTGTGTGTGAGATCTGTCATTCTGCATTTCAAGTAGTTTAAAAAATAAACATCAAAAATAATTTTTAAATATGAAGAAACTACTCTGTCATTCCTGTAATTAGACAATGATGGCAAAGGAAAAGTCTAAGAAGCCATTTGTGTCTGGAAACAACGTGGTACAGGTGTTCTGCTCCTGCGTTGTGATTACTTACAGACTGGTGGAAGTTCATACTCGACTTCAAGAACCACTCTCTCCCCGACGTTCTTCAGCAAGCTGATGATCTCATCATGGCGGAATTTGGCCAGGTTGATCCCATTCACTGCTTTGATGTAGTCACCCACATCCAGCTGGTCACTTCTGCAAAACAGACAATGTCCCTTCAGTGGACCCGTCCTCCCGACTGGCCAGTCTGACTATTTTCCTCTTACTTTTGTGAAGAAGTCTGGAAGGTGGACAGAGCAGGGGCCCTGCCTCCGAGGAAGTGGCCAGCCCCTAAGAGCTGGAAGACAACGAGGGTGGAAGATAGTCAATGAGTCCCCCTACTCATGCCATGTATTACATGCCGGGCTTTCAAAGAGTTCATGGAGAATGGAATGTTTTTGTGCACACAAGGTTGGAAATCCATGCACAGAGAGGGTCTTCAAAAAGTTAAAGAAAAAAACTATATGGAGCCCCCCAAATTTTTTGGCACCAAAATAAATTTATCCCTTAATTCCTTTTTTCATAAACTTTTTGACCTCCTCTTGTACTTTAGAGTCTTACTCTGGGTCTTGCACTATCTTGGATTTTTTTTCCCTGTTGCTACTTTTCTTTTCAAAAGTACTTGTAAACAAAATAAAGAAAACTTTTAAAAACTACTCTGTCTGTAAAGGATTGGTTCTGTAGGGGAAGATCTGAGAAGTTCCAGGTCTTTTTCTTCTTAATCCCTCTCATTTTTGCTGTCTGGATTTCAGACATTTCATAGATTCCATTATCTTCACTGGGAGTTTGCCCAGGGCAAAGGGCAGAGTCAGCTTATTTTGCTATTTATTGCTTACTATCTATTTTTTGTTATTTATTATTTAGCAGGAGTGATATAGAGTGTTGGGGAAGAAGAAATTACAATGCAAGTATTGGTTTTCGGTAACATCCCATTTCTCTTTACCACTATAACAGAACTTTGGCTGCTCTTGGGCTTTTCTCCAAACTCTGCTTCCAAACTAAAAGCAGACAGCAAGACCAATGAAAGGAATTAAAATTTGTGTCACTGATAAGGGCTTTCAATAAAATCTTCTCCCAAAATTGAAATACTTAAAATTCTTTATACATTTACAACTTTATTTGAGAGGCAGAGAAAGAGAGGAGAGAGAGGAAAGGGAGGGAGAGAGAGAGAGAAATGGAGAGTGAGAGAGAGAGAAAGAGAAGGGGAAGGGGAGAGGGAGGGGAGCAGGAGGGGGAGGGGTGAGGGAAAAGGAGGGAGTGGGAGAGAGAGAGAGAAATGCCCCATCCACTGGTTCACTCTGCAAATATTTGCAATGCTCAGGGCTGGGCCAAACTGAAGCCAGGGATGTGGGAACTCAAACCAGGGATCTCACGTGGGTAGCAACAGCAGAATCTTTTCAGGCATCACCTGCTGCCTCCCAGAGTCTGTGTTAGCAGGAAGCTGGAGTCAGGAGCTAGAGCTGGCTATCAAACCCAGGGACCATGACACATGATGTGGGCATCCCAGCCACTAGGCCAAATGTTCACCCCTACCTCCTGCATTTATTTTACACAGGTCCAGCTCCACGCATTCCCCCTTCAGAGAGCCATCCTTACACCTCCAGCTTGAAGTCCATGCTGTTGCTTTGACCTTGGCTTGACTGCAATCTATGGCAACGTAACCACCTAAGGCTGTTGTAACACGCGCGCTGTTGCTTTTTTACCATTATGGAACCCCATTACTGCTCCCAAACTTCCCCAGGCTATTTTATACTTTTTCACCCCTAGTAGACTGTAAGCCTCTTTAGGGCAGAGACCTTATCTTTAATTATTTTGAAACTTTATCTGCAAAATAGCAATGCCTTAAGCAATGAATATTTGATGATTTTTAATGCTCCATATTAAAGGCCCAGTATTACTTTTAATCGTGGCACTAATACAACTGAAAGCAATATTTTCCCTGTTCATATTTGCTTCAAGGGCTAGACACAAAGGAGCTCTGAAGACATATGAAGCCCTAGCATCATGGACTGGCCATAACTACTATAAAATAAAGGAGGCTGTGGGTGTGGAAAGATGTCTCTTTTAATAGCCTAAGGAAAGTGGATTAAGCTGCTTGAGTTCACTTTAGGCTTTGTTACAAACAATATCTCAGATCATAGAACACTCAGCTGGAGTCAGTCTACAAACTGTACAAAGAGGCTTGTCATTAAAAGTACACATTATTTTGGAAAGATGCTTTATAAAGAAAGAAAATTTGACTTGGAAGTATGTGCACAAGAACATTGGTGTCCAGGATTTAAGATATGCTAACCTGACTTTAGTGAAACCTGCTTCTTCTATCCCCTCTTGCTGAGAGGGGACAGATACTTGTTTATGTATCTATTTGAAAGTCTCATACACAGAGACAGAGAGAGACCTTCAATCAGCTGGTTCACTCCCCAGATGCCTGCAACAGCTGGGGACGGGCCTGGTCAGAGCTGGGAGCAGGGAACTCAATCCAGGTCTTCCACGCAGATGGCAGGGACTCAGCTACTTGATCCATCACCTGCTGCCTCCCAGGGTGGGCATTCATGGAAGCTGGAATCCGGAACAGAGCTAGGATTCAAACCCGGGCACTGCAATCTGGGATGCAGGTGTCACAGTGATATCTGGATCACTGCACCAGACACCTGCCGCTGAGAGCCGTTGACAGTGTGCCTGTAAAGGAAGCCCTGCACTGCACAGCAGCCAGGGCATCCTGCCTTTGGCAGTAACTGGAGCAGCATGTGGCTCAGGGGAAGGATGTGAGACCTCCCTCTCTAAACCTTCTGTTCTCTTGAAAACCGTCTTGGCGAGAAGGAAACTCTCACACGCAGAAAAGGAGAGAGGATGTGGAAAAGCAAAATCTGTACTCAGACTTGGAACGGGGCCTGCGCTCTGTCTAGACGAGCCACATGCCTCTTTGGCAGCTTCCCCTTGACACGTTCCCTGGGTCATGCTTTTCACACTGAGACCATGCAAGTGTCTTCTGCCCACTGCAGCCTTCCTGCTGCTCAGTGGAAGGCGTGGGGCTCGTTAGAACCTTGTGAAGCCTTGTGAGGGCTGCTCCTGAGACGACAGAAGAACCTCCCCGGTGACTCCAGCACAGGCCAGGGAAGCCGTGCCGGCAGACCCCGGGAACAACTTCTGAGACCAGGCCCTCTGTGCCACTCTGCAGGGAGGCACAGCTTAGCAGATGGCAGCTGTCACTTATTTATTAGCGACCTTTTCTGATAAAGCTTTAATTTTTGAATTAATTACATGCTGTGTTCCTTCTCCCATATTCCCCCATGAGGCAGGTACCTGGCAGCGATTCCTCCTTGCCGCAGATTAGACACCCTTGGCTTGCCGTCCTTATCAATTCCTCCCGACACCGTCAGACCCAGGGTCGTGCCTTCCTTCTTCATCAGTTCAACAACGGTGGAGCCCTTGAACTCTTCTGTTAAAAGAAAAGCATTTGCTTGATTAAATGAGAGCAAAACCACTGATGTTGTTCTGGGGAGGATTAAGCGACTTCTCCCCAAAGCCTTTCTACTTTTCTTTTTATGAGAAAAGTCCTTTGGCCTCCTTCCATTTATAATCTGCAGAGGATCTTAGAAAGATGTGCATGTGGATAAAGTTCAGCAGATATCCCATGAGAGGTTATTCAAATGAGTGCCCATGGGGTACTTCACTCTTGGCTGACAATAAGTAGCCTGCACTGTCTACATTCAAGAGATTATTTCATCCTTTGTTTTCTGCCATTCTCAAATGACTTTCTCTGGTTGTAACTCCAAAGGGAGCAGTAGGAAGTTGCAAGCAGTTAGAATGGAATTTTAAATAGGAATACAAATGCATACAGTACAACCGCAGCAGACTAGGAAGTCAACTGACGGAAGAGAGCTTTCTACCAGTTCAAGAAAAATATACTTGTGCTACTTTGTCTTTCAGACGCAGAGTACAGTGGCTCAGGTAACAACTCAGAGTTTCTTGCAGAATGTATCATCATACAGCAAGGCAGAGCTGGTCCTCAGAAGTTCTGATTAACTGCCAGGAATCCCTCATTCTCAGGGTAGTTGTGGTACAGTGGGTTAAGTTGCAGCTCGCGATGCTTGCATCCCATATCAGAGTGTCTGGTTCAAGTCCCAGTTACTCTATTTCCGATCCAGAATTCTTGCTAATATGTTTGAGAGGCAGCAGATGATAGCTCAGGTACTTGAGTTTCTGCCACCCATATGGGAGATCTAATTTTATTAGTTTTTTATATTTGAATAATGACATTAACATTATTGTAGCTTTTAAAAATTTGAGAGGCAGACAGAGAGAGAGACAGAGAGAGAGAGAAATATTTCATTTGCCAGTTAACTCTCTAAATACCTGGAACAGCCAGAGCTAGAGCAGCCCCAAGCCAGGAGCCAAGAACTCAATCTGGATCTCTCATGTGGGTGGCAGGGACACAACTATTTGAACCATCACCTGTTGCCTTCCAGGGCATGCATTAGCAGGAAGCTGAAATTCACAGCAGAGCTAGGACTTGAACCCAGGCATACTAATATAAGACATGGGAATCCCAAGGGCATCTTCACTGCTACAACAAATGCCTGCCCTTGATCAAATTTTAAAATCTCACAGATCTTTGTAGGGATAATGTGTATATGCCAAGCATAGACTCTACTCTCTCAGTGCTGGGCAAAGCAGAAAGTAAGTAAACTTTAAGAATATCCTTTCTTCCAGAAATAAGAGTAGAGTCAATATTTACCTGTCCAGAGGCTAATTATGATAAACACTGTTTTACAATTCTCTGTGATGTTATTCCCCCCTGCCCTACAACCACACTTTCTGGGTAGGCATGATCAAACTAGACAGTTTTCCAACTCCTCCCGAATCATGTTATAAATTCCAGGGGTTACGAACTTAGAGCACATCAAAGACATTCACATTAAAATGCAAGAACAGACTTGCTTTTTCAAAATCAAATTTAAAAATGACTATTTGCATACCTCTGCTCTTTCCTTAATTACATATAACAGTTAATTATAACTTTGAAAGTCTCTATGAAGGCTTACCATAAAGGTTTTTAAAATTGTTGCTACTGATATATCAATCCACTAGCCAATGAAAAAACCAAATTGTGTTAGGGAGAGAAATAATCTCTTTTATGATCCAGTAGGAGGCAAGGGGCAATAGGGCACCCACTTCCTCTGTGATGAACAGAATGCCATTCAGGTAGGGCTCTGAAGACTGCTAAATCCTTGGGGCTGGTGTTGTGATGTTGGCATTCCATATCAGAGTGCTGGTTCGAGTCCTGATGGCTCCATTTCCAAAACAGCTGTTTGCTAATGCAACTGGGAAAGCAGAGGAAGACAGTCCAAGTGCTTGGGCCCCTGCCACCCATGTGAGAGATGTGAATGAAGTTTCTGGCTCCTGGTGTAACCATTGGGTAAGTGATCAGTAGATGGAAGATTTCTCTCTTTCTCTCTCTGCTTCTCTCTTTGTTGCTCTCCTTTTCAAATAAATAAAATTAATAAATCTCAAATTTTGTTGAAAGATGTATTTATTTCTTTGAAAGGTGGATGATAGAGAAGGGGGGAGAGAGAGAGAGAGAGAGAGAAAGAGAGAGAGAGAGAGACCATCCATCTATTGTCCATTAGTTCATTCTCCAAATGGTCACAATAGCTAGCTCCGGGCCAGACCAAAGCCAGGAGTTAGGAACTCCATCCTGGTCTCCTAAATGAGTTGCAAGGGCTCAAACACTTGGACCACTTTCTGCTGCCTTCCCAGGCACATTAGTAGGGAGCTGGATCATAAGCAGAGTGGCTAGGACTAGAACTAGTGTTCTGGTGTGGAATGCCAGCATTGCAAGCAGTGTCTTAACTCACTGCAACAGAACGCTGGCTCCAATAAAGCTTTTAAAAATGCTGAAGACTAGTTAAATATATCATTACTGTAGACTGGTACATTCATTTAGAAAAAGGAGTGCCAGGTCCTGTGATTTTTAGTATCCCAGTATACCTGGCTAGAAGTCTGCTTTTTCATGGCAGTCTCACTAGATTGCCTATGTGGGTTGTTATAGTCCTTTAAAGAAGCCAAGGAAGTGTGTATGAAGTCAGCTTCATCTATTGCATTTTGCATGAAGGATGAAATAGGAATTGAAAATCAAGAATGAAAATTCTTGTCAAGTGAATAGAACTACAGAAACTTTTACATCATTTACCAGAAGCATTTGTAACAGAAGTCCATCACTGTGTACATTCACCTGTGCCTACTTAAAATAGAACAAAACTACCCCTTCCTCATCCTCTAGAAAATTACACAGGCTGAACCACGACATGAAGAGACAGACTTAACAACCTCTGTCAATTCTTGTTCACATAAGACTAGCTAAAAAATTATTAAAATAATAAAGTAATTCAAGTAACTAAGATGACATAGTAGATGGTGACGGTTCACACTGCAGAGATGTAATGTATCTACCAAAAATTCTTTGTATATTCTTTAAATACGTGGCATAACCTTGTACATTTAAACATTTGATTATAGATACTCAGGTTTTCAAGGGCAGGGTCCCAGAACAAATGGAATACCGATTCAAAGGTGCAGTCTTACTGGAGGTAAGCAATGCAGTTTTTTCTACAAGGAACATGGGTTCTTTCCAGGCTTCTGCCTGAATCCTAGAAATCTAGAAAAGCTCAATTCCTTCAGTTTAATTTTATCACTATAAAAAATAGAAATACACTGATCTACTTTTAAACTTGTAACACTCAATTATCTTTTCATTTAAAAATGTCATATCTTTTCCCAAGAGCTAGTTTTAACAATGTGAAGGAAATATTCACACAGCACTTAATTGAGTAATTGTGAACTCACTGATTCAAGAATTTACTGAATGCCTACTGTAAGCCCAAGCAAGAAACTTCAAGATGTAAAAAGTTAAGGCCATGATCTTCAAGATGCTCATAACCCAGCTGCAAAGGCAAAGTCACAGACCACCATGCCACAGGGTGTGCCATGCGGAAGAATCACAGGGGAGATGGGTTGGGTACCCCTGTGAACTCAAGGGTCAAGGTTCCAGCTTCAACATTTTTTTCACAATTTTATCTTCTGTCCAATATGCTGTACATGCTTACCAATCAGGATGAGCTGAGCAGACAAAAGAAATAATATAAATTAGGCAAAGCCCAGGAGCAAAGATGGAATAGTGTTGCAAGAAAATGGGCCGAATCATAAGTATGTTAACTACCAATAAGTTTCTCTGGGTCCTGTATAATTGACTAAATCTGTTATGGGTGTTTCTGAACTGGAGAAATGGACTGGAGAGGGAAGAACCTGCTACTGAAGACTGCTTTCTGCTACCCTGCATTCTTCACACAACTAATCAATCATTTTATGTCTTTTTTGGTGTTTAATGTTTGCATAATGATATAGTGGCAAAGCGAAATGAAGACAGATGCATTCATTTGCATGAGTTCACTTATACACAAAAGCTTACTGAGCAAACTTTGCAGTAAAACCCTGGAACTTGGGCAAGCCAATATGTCCTGGGAATTTCTTTCTGTTGCGATTTGAACTGCGTAAATACCTCCCCCAGTAAAGAGGACCTTGTATCCAACATCATTGTCTCTCCAAATTAGTAAACAGCATGGGGAACAGGTGATGCCCAACTGGCAGGAATGAGGTAGTTCTGGATTTAATGCTTTCCTTAATCACCATATATAATCATCATAGAAAGGAAACTGCAGGTTTACATCTGTACTACCACTTACTCAATATAATCAATAAGAATCTCCACATACAGCATGGGATTTACTTGTTGGCTGCTTTTCTTTGGGTTTCTAATTCTATCTTTCAAATTACTGAAGCCCAGCAGGTTTTAAGAAAAGAAACAATGATCATTTGCAAAACCAAGAGAATCATGAAAAATCTTTAGAAAAAAATGAGGAAATTTGAGAATACAGATGGTTGCCCAATTAATATGCAAAAAAACATATCCTTTATGTAGACAGACAGCCAGTTAGAAGTTATCATAGAAGTTCCTATTTACAATAGCCCACAGGTAAAATTCCTAAAAAAAAGAAATTTAAATGTACAATATCTATAGAAAGAACATGTTAAAGCACTTCTGAGGGATATAAGAGCAGAAAAAATGAAAAAGTATCCATCTCTCATTCAGTAATAGCTTAGCACTTCCTATGTGCCAGGCAGTGTTCTAGGAACTGACAACACAACAGTGAACAAATTACAAAAAATCCGCACCATCTAGGACTTACTATTTCAGTGGACAGAATAACCCAGCATCAAAAGTGGCCAATTATCTCTAGATTAGTTCACAAAGTCAACAGTATTAATAAAAGTGCCCAAAGAATTTTTTTAGCACAAGATATATATTACATCATTGCAAAATGAAACATATATCCTTGCAAAGAAATCGTGCTCCCAGGGTGGATAAGCTTGCTGTTCCAT